AAAAACTGGTCCATGCATTTGTCACGTCTAGACTGGACTATTGCAATGATTTATTATCTGGGTGTCCAAATACTTCTTAAAAAAGTCTTCAGTTGATCCAAAATGCTAGAGTTAGTAGAAGACATCATATTTCTCCAGTTTTAGTTTCTCTCCTTTGGCTCCCTGTCAAATTTAGAAGATAATTCATAATCTTACTTCTAACCTACAAAGCTGTCAACAACCTAGCTCCATCTAATATTACAGATCTTATTGCTCCATATTTTCCTAACAGAGCACTTCGCTCTCAGACTGCAGGTTTACTTGCGGTTCCTAGAGTTTCCAGAAGCAGAATGGGAGGAAGATCTTTCAGTTATCAGGCTCCTCTCTTGTGGAACCAACTTCCAGTTTCTGACTGCAAGGCTGACACATTGTCCAGTTTTAAGACAGGGCTTAAGACTTTCCTTTTTTGATAAATTCTATAATTAGGGTTGGTTTGTTATGCTGCTATAGGCTTAGACTACTGGAGGACAAATTGACCCAATTTCCTTAAATTATTTACTAAAATTGAATAGTTTTCATTTGATACTATTTCTATCTTAACGTGATTCTTGACCTGCCATTGTGTTTCTGTTCCTCCTTCCTGTTCCTCTCAAGCCCAGCCGGTCGAAGCAGATGGCCGCTTGACCTGAGCCTGGTTCTACTAAAGGTTTCTTCCTCATGAGGGAGTTTTTCCTTTCCACTGTCGCCTTCATGCTTGCTCAAGATGAGAGTTCTGCGATGAAGTTAAACTCAAAGCAGTCTGCTCCTCAGAAAAATAATGTTATTAACTTGCTTTTTATGTATATAAATGTTTCTGTTCAGTGCCCTGAGATGACTTCTGTTGTGACTTGGAGCTATATGAAGAAACTGAACTGAATTGAATTACACAGTTTAGCATTATTTTGCTGAAATATGCAAGGCCTTTTCTGAAAATATATATAATCTGGATGTAAACATCTGTAGTTCTCTGCAAGGCTGCCGTTAATGGGAGGCCTGGGGTCAATGGCTACTCACCAAAAATTAGCTTGATATAAAAGCCATTTTTGTGTGAGCTATTGTCCACTAACTGTGACAGCCATCTTGGTTGATTCCAAAAATTAATCAAGCGTAGATGTTCTTCCAATTATTGCTTTTTGGATGTTTCAACAAAATCCGCCCTCTGGTTTGTGTGATATTTTGCTAACAGACAGACAAACAAGCACATCCACGCACAATTACAATATCACAATATGTTCTATTATTTGATAGAAAAGCAGGGAACAAAAGATTAAGGAAGACCAAAATTTCTAAAATAACATACTGAACAAAACCCCAGCCAACAACTTCCTGTTGTTCCTGTGAGCTGCAGAGATTGCATATATGAGAATCTTTCTAAATTAAAATGCATGGAGCCAAGATGTTAATCTTTCTGGAGCTGTTCCATGATGAGAGGAGTCTAGCCCGGTGGACTCGTTAAGTGGCTGTCTCCAGCTGAGCTTCATTTCGTCCTTCAGTAATGTGCCCTAAGCCTGGCTCCAATAGTTAAAGACACACAAAGAAAAAGAGTCATTTGTGTTCCACTCGTGACCAAATGCCACCGTCAGCACTTCCGTTACTTTGGGTTCTTTTGAAAAATGAAGAGCGCAACTTCACTTGATACGTCACTGAAAGAGACGGGACAGAGGAGTGAAATGTCAAGATGTCAGAAACACACAGGCAGCTGTAATGACAAGAAATGATGAGAGCTCTTGTACAGGCTCAGTGTCTTTGAAAAACACTTGATGCCTTCAGTGAAAAGATTTGGACATTTTCAGTTTCAGAAAAATCCATTCAGTGATTTGTGACAGGATTGTATAGACAAAGTACACACACTCAAATACACATAAAGACACGGGTAAAAACATGATTGCTCCTCCTTCACAGGTGGCAGGTGATAATAAAAATTAAGATTTGTGTTATTGGGGACTGCCATGCAAAGGCATGGCAGTCATCTATTATTCTACACCTCGGAAGAGTGTCTACATTTCTATCTCCATTAATGCGGCCCGAACCACAGTGTCTACCCCCACAAAAGTTATGACTGGCTTGGCCCCGTTATGTGTGCTATGACTTTTTTTGGCATTTTGAGTTACCATGGCGACGTAATTTGCGAAGCAATATTTCACCAACTCCAGGAACTAGTTGGTGACTGCCCACTTATTATTCTACACCTGAAAAGCGTATCTTTTTCAACTTTAATGTGGCCCCGAACCGCAACGTGGACCCCCACAAAAGTTATATCAAAACAATCGGCCCAGTTCAGGGAAGTGTGCAATTACTTTTAATGGTATTCACAGTTACCATGGCCACATATTTTGCTAACAAATATGCCAAAGTTCCCATAGGAAATAAACAGGAGAAAACTCTTCACAGAAACTGAATAACATATAGAGCCATTTTGGTTTAACATGCAAGGAAGGCTGTGCATTATGCAAAGCATGGAAGGCACCTATTATTACCTATTATCACCAAATATTATAGTAATTAGTAATAATAATACAAACCGGATTCCAAAAAAGTTGGGACACTAAACAAATTGTGAATAAAAACTGAATGCAATAATGTGGAGGTGCCAACATCTAATATTTTATTCAGAATAGAACACAAATCACAGATCAAAAGTTTAAACTGAGAGAATATATCATTTTAAGAAAAAATCTGTTGTTTCCAAATTTCATGGCATCAACAAATCCCAAAAAAGTTGGGACAAGTCCATTTTTACCACTGTGTGGCATCCCCCCTTCTTCTTACAACACTCAACAGACGTCTGGAGACAGAGGAGACCAGTTTCTCAAGTTTAGAAATAGGAATGCTCTCCCATTCATGTGTAATACAGGCCTCTAACTGTTCAATCGTCTTGGGCCTTCTTTGTCACACCTTCCTCTTTATGATGCACCAAATGTTCTCTATAGGTGAAAGATCTGGACTGCAGGCTGGCCATT